GCTCAATTGGGTGAGTCTTGCGACCTACTTATACTAATTACTATAAGACACATGAATCACATGTGATACGCATCTTTTCACATGGGATTCTTATTTTTAAGAACACATGTTAGGCATTTGAGGCAATTGTGCTTCAAATGTGAGAAACATCGGATTTACATTTTAAAAGATACAAGTACATGTGATACACATGTGCTAAACTGTGATTCCCATTTAAAGTTTATGTGATTCACATTGAGGTCTGTGTATATCGAGTGTAAAAACTTGGAAATTACATGTGAAGCAATGTTAATCAAAAGTGCTTTTAGCATAAAATTTAAAATCCACAAGTATACATGTACTTTTACATGTGTACCACATGTCAATTTCACATGTGCATCACATGTGATATTCATTGGATTTTCCTGAAAGGACCTAAATACATTATTTCCTTTTGTGACATCATGAAAACACAGGAACTCAGGCAGGATATCAGACCTGGACCTCCAGCTGGTCTGGGTCATCTCAGGATGCGACGTTCGGGAGCCACATTCATCTAGAAAAACAAATAACACAGGACTTTCCAGCCATCATAATGTTCAGCAGGGAAACCACTACTGCGTCCCAGACATGACGGTGTTTAGGTGCAAAATATGCATACATGTAGCAGCGCAGGAGGAAAAGGTCAAGAATATAGTGGCTGGAGGTGATGAATTCAATTCAGAGGTCATTTCATCAGCTCATCACCTCAGGCTGTATTGTTCTTTATACCAAAACATTTACCTGTGAATGGCTCATAAAAGAAAATTCTGAAACCAAAATGAAGGTCTCTTGAGGGAAAATCCAGGGGCTTAAAGGTATTGTGGAGGATTTTTGCAATCTTTTTAAAAAGACCCACCCTCTCAATTAAAAAAAAATGGTAGTGACAGCCAATGGCGACAGCGGGCCGCTTTGACAGCAGATCCCAGAATGCTTTGTGAGGAGAGCTCTCCGCACAAAGCATTCTTGGATATATCTGCCTCTTCTGAGGCCTTACTTTTCTTCTCATACACTTTGTTGACACTTTTTCTCTTACGAACCTTGACCATTTTCACAAAACTGTGCTGAACAAGGTGAGCTTCAATGAGCAACTAGAGCCGTAGCTTACTACAGATATATGCCTAAAGTGCGAGCACGTAGGACGGCCTTAAAGAAATAGTACACCCAAAACATGATTAGCCTTCATTTTCTACTCACCCTCATGCTGAACAACACTCTGGAGTACTTTTTTGATATCTCAAATGCATCTGGAGATCTGGGAGGCTTCTTGCTGTCTGCTGACATTNTTTGGATAGAAGTTTAGCTAAAAACTGGTTTTTAAAAAATGGCTGCTGCCCTTTTAACTGTGGTTGCCTTAATCTGCTCAATTGGGTGAGTCTTGTTTCTGAATATAAATGTGTTTCAAAGAGGTTTTAGGCCTTGAAGTGTCATGATCTACATGTCGTTTCAGTCTAGGTAATGCACAAGGAGGTGAGAAGGTGTATTCAGACAACATCACTCGCATTCTGGATAGACTTTTGGATGGTTATGACAATAGACTGCGACCTGGTTCAGGAGGTAGTTACAATATTCTCTTTTTTCAAAGTCTTAAAGATAAAATATACACCACAGCTACTGTGCCAAGCCTTTTTATGCACAATGTTGTTATTTTGTCACTCATTGCTACAGGTGGTATTACAGAGGTAAAAACCGACATCTTTGTTACCAGCTTTGGGCCTGTTTCAGATGTTGAGATGGTAAGATGTCCTAAAAATGTGTCCTGTCATTTTTCTTTCATGCTAGTTGTAAAGTATTCCAGACTTACCTGTAGTATTTAAAGGGGTGTTAATCAACAGTTATCCAAGGCTTCTGAGGGGTTTTAAATAACGTTTGAATTCAAATTTCGGAGCTTTTAAGGTTATTTTAAGGACAGCTCTTGTCCCTGAGCACATAGACAGGTTGGTAGGACTTTCAGAAAAAAGATGATCACAATTAAAGAAAAACTTCTGCAGAGTAGTGTATTTTTTATATTTATATTCTAATAATTCAAGTAGAGGAACCAATCAGTATCATTACGTCCAACAATTGAGATTGAGTTGTATAAACCAAAACTTTAGGTCGTTGGTAGATTGATGCTATTAATCCTATTTTTCAAATATAAGCACAAATTTAAATGTTTAATATAAGCTATATCTTTTGTAGACAGATTTTTTTAGTAATTTTAGTTAGTTAGGAGTTAAATTGGGTAAAAAAATTATCCTCTAAAAATGCTCAGGCTCTGTAACAAAACAAAATAAGAAAACTGCATAAAGTACCAAGAGAAAATGTAAAAGAACTTCAGAAACTGAAAAAAAAAATCTTTTTTTTTTTTAAAGATCACCAGGAAGATTGTTTTCCCTAAAGCAAAATATGAATAAATGAACATTGGCACAAGATGTCTGCACGGTTCTGAATATGTGCTGACTGTGAAGGATCACAATGCCTCAGTGACCATCTGCCATGTGATCATCTAATGAGCTTTAATTTGTCTGACTAGCCCCATAACTCCATTATTGATGGCCTTGAAATCAATATGACAACATGTCAGACAGTGGGAATGGCCGAATGGATTGATTCATGATTATATGGGATGAGTGGCATCAATCATCGCTCATTCTCTCCACTTACCTTCCAGTGAATATTGAAAGCTCTCTCCGGTGGTAAACAGTAACATTTGAGATTAAATCCATGGTTTAGGGATCAATAAAAACATTTATTTTCCTTCTACTAACATGATATGTTTTTTGTTCAGGAATACACCATGGACATGTTCTTCCGTCAGATGTGGGTGGATGAACGGCTGAAGTTTGAGGGCCCCATTGAAATCTTACGTCTTAACAACCGCATGGTGGACAAGATATGGACGCCAGACACCTTCTTTAGAAATTCAAAGAAGTCCATTTCCCATAACATGACCACACCCAACAAGCTCTTTCGCATAATGCAGAATGGGACCGTCCTTTACACCATGAGGTGTTGCTTTGTTTTCCTGGTCTTTTAAATGACCTGTTTTAATGGAGAACCATAAAGGATGTATTATTTACCGCGCTTTCATTCTGCTTTTAGACTAACAATCAGTGCAGAGTGTCCAATGAGGCTGATGGACTTCCCCATGGATGGCCACGCCTGTCCTCTCAGGTTTGGAAGCTGTGAGTAAAGCAGCTGTTTTTAAAAGAGCCAACATCAATCATTCGCCACTGTTTTAAACTTGATAATCAGTTTATCTTTCTGTCAGATGCATATACCAACAGTGAAATTATTTTCACCTGGAGGAAGGGTCTAACAGCTTCTGTGGAGTGTCCCAAAGAGTCAATGAGTCTTCTGCAGTACGATCTAGTCGGGCAGAACTTGTCCAGTGAGATAATGAAGTCAAACACGGGTAACATTGCATAATATGTAATTTTATGCATAAAACATGTTATACAGCAGGTGTTTAGAGTCCAGAAGTTGCATTTTTGCAATTAAAGAACAGAGTTGCCTTTTTTTGTCAACCACCGTTAAATTTTACTGAACATCCAGCTACTTTGCTCTGTTACTTATTTCACATGTCATGCTTATCTTCCAGGTCATTATTCTGTGCAGGTGGTCCATTTTCTTCTCCAGAGAAAGCTTGGATACTACCTCATACAGACCTATATCCCCCTCATCATGGTTGTTGTACTGTCCCAAGTTTCATTTTGGATCAACAAGGAATCTGTTCCAGCGCGTACAGTTGCTGGTAGGCACCCCGCCCCGCCATCATTATGCAACTAATGTCTGCTAATCACTGTGGCTAATACATTTTCATGCATGCTTGATTAACAAATATTTGCCTCTCCTTTAGGCGCCACCACGGTGCTGACGATGACCACCTTGAGTATTAGTGCTCGGCAGTCCTTGCCTAAAGTTGCATATGCCACAGCCATGGATTGGTTTATCGCTGTATGTTTTGCCTTTGTGGCCTCTGCTCTGGTTGAGTTTGCAGCAGTGAACTATTTTGCCAGCTTGCAGGCAAACCGCCTGAAGAAGCAGAGAGCCAGACAAGACAGGCTGGAGGTGCTGGCCACTGGCAGTGACGATGATGACACCCTTTCTGTGAGTAGTGGGATTTCATGACTTTGACGAATGGGTGACTTTGTTTTGTTTTCAGTCAGGCATAAGAGCAGCAGATATCTTGTAGAAGGGAATTCCAAAAGTCTGAACAAAGCAAAAGCAGCAGAAATCCAACATCTCTACTGTCATCAGTCGAGGCAAACTTTTTAGCAATTAGATAATACACATAGAAAGATTGTTTAAAAATACACCTGATATTATTTTCTCTCTTGTTAACGGTAAATCAGATTTTTTCAGTGTTTGTGTCCATTAGGATGATTTGTGTTATTATTGCTCTTTGCTTAATACCAGATGATGGGAGAAATATTTTTTTTAATCATAATATTTTGAATTCAGTAAGATTATAAAGCCTTGAAAGAAATCAGGAAAGCTGGGGTGATATCGTGGCTTTGAATGTTTCTGGTTCAAAATATCTAATTTAACTGGATGATCAAGCATTGTACATACTTTATTAATAAACGGCATTCATTTGTGGAAGACATCTTCCCTACATGGTCATGAAGATTTGGTCATGCATTCCATTTTCCAGTAAACATTTGGGGAAGTGTGGGACTTGTGATCGAACACAATTTAGTAATTTAACTTTTATTGATAGGAGAAATTTATCCCTGTATTTAACCCATCCCCTTGGGGGAGCAGCGGGCTGCCACTGTGTGGTGCCCGGGGAGCAGTGTGGGGTTAAGGGTTTTGTTCAGGAACCCATAGTGCAGACTGTGGGAATCGAACCGGGTACTTGCAACCTTCTCAGAGCACAAGTGCACTGCTCTAATCACCAGGCCAACACTGCCCCATTTCTCACATATGCAACACATATCAAGATTTTCTTTCCCATGTGAATGTCATTAGGTTGTGCTCTTTGTAATTCTTTTTACATTTGTCAAAAGTCACAATATTAGTATGTATGTTTTACCGTTTTTGATCCCTGAAAGAAAAACCCTCTAAATGTCACCGCTGAAAATCACATGTGAAACCCATGTACCACATATAAGTTTAGCATGTGGTACACATGTCTAAACAGTTGAATCACATATGATACACATTTTAATGTGACTCCCAATTAAAGCACATGAGATTCACACTTAAGTCCCATGTGTGTTAAAAGTGAAAAAAAATTGGAATTACATGTGAAATGATGTGTATTAAATATGATACACATGTGCTAAACTGTGATTCCAATTTTAAGTGTTTTTACTATACTTATACTAATTACTATAAGACACATGAATCACATGTGATACGCA